TCTGTCCCCTCTGCACCCGCCCCCAGCCCTGCTGGCCACTAGCAGCCATGGTGCCCTGGGTCTGGGGTCTGTGGAGCATTTGTCACACATGGTGATGCCCCCGTGGATGCCTGCCGGGGACAGGGGACTGGGGGGTGCTGTGGAGACCATCCCTTCCCCCAGCTCAGGCCACACAGATGCCCAGGTCACTGCACGCTCTGGTCCGCTGGTGGCTGAGGACCTTGCAGGGTAACCAGACCGTGGTCTGCTCTCGTGGAGGGAGGCCGCCTCACAGAGAGGAACAGGGACTTGCTGTCCACTTGAGGGGAGAGCTTTGCCAAGTTCTGGGTGCCTGAGTCAGAGTGGGGTATGGCTCCCACCAAGGTCACCTCTGACTTGACGTCAGGTCCCGCCCCCCCCCCCCCCCCAGAGAGGGGCACAATGCAGGGCCCACTCCTCGCCTTGCTGAGATCCCTGTCCCGCCTGGTGCTTTGTGGCTCGACCAGAGGTTACCTCTCAGGCCATGCTTCTCCAGGAGAGAAAGGTGCCCCTGCAGCTGGACAGAGGGAGTGGGACAGTGGCCCTTAGAGTCCTGGGGATGGTATGTGCCACACGCGCAAACTGCTGTGCCAGGGAGACCCCATGGGCTGTGGGGGCCCTGGACATGGGCAGCTGCCGCCCTCCCAGAGCCTAAACAGCTGTCAGCCCATGTCCCTATGTCTCCATGCTCCCCATCCTGCAGGCCTGATGCCAGCCTCAGGGAGGTCCCTGGCTCTCTCCAGGCCCTCACCAGCGTGACAACCTGGGGGTGGGGGATGGCCCCTGGAAGTTGTCACCTCAGGCTGGTCTGGCTGTCCCAATGGGCAGAAGCATTTCTTTGGGCAGGGAACCATGAGGGCTGGGCCCCCCACTCTGCACAGGAGCTCAGATGGACACCAGCCCGGGGCAGCCAGGACGTGACCTGGGTGGGTTCACGGGGAGGCTCCCTCCCCAGATAGGAGTGGCAACTAAAGGGGTGCTGTGGGTGGCCGCGGCCCACCAAGCTCTGGGACAGGCCTGGGAAGCTCTCAGGCTCCGGCAGCAAAGGGACAGGCAGCACTGGGGGTGCAGAGGGATGAAAGCCATGAGGCTTCTGGGGACAGCCTTTGTTTTAAAGACGTATTTAGGGGCACATGGGTGGCTCAGTCAGTTAAGTGTCTGCCTTTGGCTCAGGTCATGGTCCTGGGGTTCTGGGATCCAGCCCCGCATGGGGCTCCCTGCTCAGCAGGGGAGCCTACTTCTTCCTCTCCCACTCCCCCTGCTTGTGCCCTCGCTCTCTCACTCTCTCTCTCAAATAGTCTTTTTTTAAAAGATTTTTTTTTTATTTATATGACAGAGATCACAAGTAGGCAGAGAGGCAGGCAGAGAGAGAGGAGGAAGCAGGCTCCCTGCCGAGCAGAGAGCCCGATGTGGGGCTCGATCCCAGGACCCTGAGATCATGACCTGAGCGGAAGGCAGCGGCTTAACCCACTGAGTCACCCAGGTGCCCTCAAATAGTCTTTTAAAAAATTTATTTATCGGAGAGAGAGTGTGAGCACGAGGAGGGGCAGACGGTGAGGGGAACAAGTCCCAGTCCGACTCCACACAGAGCCAGGAGCCCAAGGTGGGGCTTGATCCCACCACCCTGAGATTAGGACCCTGAGCCAAAACCAAGAGTCGATGCTTAACCAACTGCAACACCCAGACGCCCCCTGGGGACACCCTTGAGGTCAGTCTGGTGCCTCTGAGCAGGACAAGACGACTGTCTGCTGTTGATGTTCATGATATGAGGGTCTTAAAAAAAATCTATAAATGAAAAAGTGAATGGATTTTTTAAAGATTTTACTTGAGAGAGAGCAAGTGAGAGAGTGAGTGTGCGTTTGTACTGGTCTCACTGGCCCAGGCCTGGGTGCCCCCTAAGCCCCTGGACAGGGGTGGGTGAGCCCTACCCAAACCCCCACAGAGTAGGGACAGAGAAAGGAGGTTCCCAGAAAGAAATGGGGGTCACTACTTCTAGAAGTTAGAAAGACTGCGGGGCAGGGGGACACATCCTGGCCATGCCGCTATGGGAGGACCCTGGGGGTCAGCTTTGGCAGGTGGGTTGGGTCTTCTCTCTCTTCCCTCCCTCATGTCAGCCTGGCGCCACCCCAGCAGTCGGGCATGCCTGCAGAGCCCAGGCTCTCGCCTCGGGTTTCCAGTGGAACTGCCCAGGAAGGTGGCTCCCTCCAGTTAGAAGCAGGGGCCACCTCTTCCAGCCCACCTCCACCTCGCCTCAGGGGTCAGGAAAGAGGTGGATGGAGGGAAAGCTTCTGGTACACGTGTGACCTTGGAACAGTGCCTGGCTCTTCTCTTTGGGGTGGGCCGACAGACCGGCCACATGGTCTCTGAGCGTGGGAAGCAGTCCACACTGAGTGGTGTGTCCTACGCCCTCATCTCTGCAGTCATGCCCACATGCCCTTTCTGGTGGGAGGGAGGCCACCAGGGCCACACTCAGCTGCCTGGGGAAGGCAGGTGCTGACTCTCAACCCCTCCTCCCCTCCCCTCCCTTTAATGGAGCAGAGATGACAACAGGCTCAGATACTCCTATAAAGGCCACGAGCCCTTACATTTCTGGGCAGGGGGCTGTCAAAGGGACTCTCACTGGAGGCTCTCAGGACTTGTGGACCGTCTCTGTGGCGCCAGAGGTAAGGCCCCCCAATCCTTCCATGTTCCCTTCAGGCTGTGGCTGGTGGCATGTGGGCTCCAGGCCCACACAGAGGCGAGCGCTGGCACTGGGCCTCAGTAGGACTAGAGAAGGTAGACGTGCTGGCCATTGGCAGGGGCAGCTGTGGAGGCTGGTGTGGGGTAAAGGGTGGGGCAGTCCCTCCCGGTCTCTGGGGACTGTTCTTTGCTTCACATGGGAATAAAGGCTTCCTCCCGCAGCCCCGCTGCAGCCCAGCAGAGCTTGCACGGGGACCCTGGGCACAGCTCTCTCTTCATCATCGCCTGCTCTGTGCCCCCAATAGGCAGGGGGCCCTGGGCAGAGCAAATGCCCACATCAGGGGTGGACAGACAGCAGAGCCCCCAGCCCTGGCCAGGAGTTGCCTTGACCAGGAAAAGCTCCGCCCTGGTGAGTCCCCAGCCCCAAAACAGGCTCAGGGTATGCACACTAGACCCCCAGGGGAGGTGCTGGGCTGGATCCAAGTGGATCTCTACCTCGCCAGCTTTGCAAAACCCTGCACAGGCCTCCTGATTCCGCCTGGCTCTCCTCTCTGGAGTGCGCTGACAAAACCGGCCACCCAGCGGTCCTCAGGCCCAGAGATGCCACAGTAGTGATCTGGCCACTGGAGACTATGGCGCCCCCCGTCCCCACGCCCTGTCACTTGGAACCAGAGCGGCTGCAGTTCCTTCAGGCTTCCACTGGAAACTGAGGGCCAGGGAGCTCGGAGTAGGGACAGGGGGTGTCCCTAGATTATCATCATTTTTTGCTTCCCTGTGGAAGCTCCTGAGTGCCCCCCCTCCGCTCCCCAAGCTGGGGCAGGAGTCCAAGCCCAGGGATCTCTGTGCCTGAGGAGAGGGCAGAAGCCAGGCCCAGGACCAGGGAACGCCCCTCCCAAATCTTTACTCGGAAACCTTCTCCACCAGGTGCAGAGGCCTGGAGAGATCCCATTCAGGGTCCCAACTAGCTGAAGGGGCCTAGTGTCTGGGTGAGGGTCCTCCAGGGCGTAATGAGGCTGGGCCTGGGGAAAGGGTGGTGGAGGCCTTGACATCTGGTGCTGACATGATCCAGAATTTTCTGGGATGACCAGGAATTAGTAAGGGCGGGTGGGGGGACTCAACGAGCAGGGCAGCCATAGAATACATCCTCCCCTTCCCCAGCAGGTGAAAACTGCACCTGGGCGGTGCTACAGGGAACCCAGGGAGGGCAGGACAGCTGCTGGGGACCACTCCTCACCTCCCTGCCCAGGGCACAGAGTGGCCCCTTCTACCAGAGTCAGACCCCTTGCACCTAAGTTGTTTCTGCATCAAGTCCAGTCAGGTCAGACAGACCACTCGCCCAGGGGGTGGGGTGGGGTTTGCCCAGAGAGCTGGGTGCTCCGGGCGGGGTGCTACTGAGGGGCTGGGGTCTCGGGCAGGTCCTGAAGACAAGACAAGGTGTGTGTCCCTCCTTCCCTGGTGGGTGCACCACGTGAACTTGTGGGAGACTCTTCCCTTTGTGGAGCCCTGACACCCTTCGAGGGGTGTGGGCAGGGCTGGCCCTGGGCCATATCGGTGGAGTGAAGAGAGGAGCCAAGGGCTGGTTAGAGCAGAGGCTGCTCTGGGACGGAAAGAGCGACTCAAGTTTTCACCGCGGGAACCCTCCTCTCTCCGGCGCCGCCCCCTCCCCCCGTGGGCGCCGTCCCTCTCTCGGCCCGCCCAGGCAGGTTTCCGCAGACCGACCTCGACTTTGGGTCCCCACCGCGGGAGGGGGCGGGGGCGGGGGGTGTGGCTGCGGTGATCCAGGGCGCTCCAGGCCGCTGCCTCCCGTCCCAATCGGGAGGGACGGCCCAGGCCAGTCGAGGGGCTGCCCTCGGGGGCCACGACCGGGGCCCCGGCCCCCCGGAAAGTCTCTGGAGAGGCCCGGCGGGGGCGAGGAAGGGGCGGGAACCCGCCCCCTCGGCGACAGAGGAAGGGACAGGCAGCGTGGGCCGCGCGCGCGGGCGCCTGCGGCACACATTCCCCCCCGCCCCGCAACGCGCTGGCCGCCCCCTCCCCTCCGCCAGCAGCCCTCCGGGGGCCGCGGGCCGGCGAGGGTTAAGGGGGGCGGGGCACGGGGCGGCCCCGCCCCCGCCGCCACGCCGGGTCCGAGCGCGCACGGGGCGCGGGGGCGGGTCGGAGCGGGCGGCGGCGGCGGAGGGCGGAGGGCGGCGGCGCGCCCGGGGAGCGCGGGGAGCGGTGGCGGCTGCGGCGGCGCGGCCCGCGTGACCCTCCGCCGCGCCCGTGAGCCCGCGAGCCCGCGCCCCGCCGCGCCGCCCAGCCGCAGGATGCGCGCCCCGCCGCTGCTGCTGCTGCTGGCCGCCTGCGCGCCGCCGCCCTCCGCCGCCGCCGTCCCGACGCCGCCGGGCTGGGAGCCGGCGGCCGACGCGCCCTGGTGCCCCTACAAGGTGCTGCCCGAGGGCCCCGAGGCGGGCGGCGGGCGCCTGTGCTTCCGCAGCCCCGCGCGCGGCTTCCGCTGCCAGGCGCCCGGCTGCGCGGCGCACGCCTCGGCCGGCCGCTCGCTGCGCGCCAGCGTCCTGCGCAACCGCACGGTGCTGCTGCAGTGGCGCCTGGCACCAGCCGAGGCGCGCCGCGTGCGCGCCTTCGCGCTCAACTGCTCGTGGCGCGGCGCCTACACGCGCTTCCCGTGCGAGCGCGTGCTCCTGGGCGCGTCCTGCCGCGACTACCTGCTGCCCGACGTGCACGACGGCGTGCGCTACCGCCTGTGCCTGCAGCCGCTGCCGCTGCGCGCCGAGCCCGCCGCCGCCGCCCCGGAGCCCGCCGGGCCCGCCGAGTGCGTGGAGTTCGCTGCCGAGCCGGCCGGCATGCGGGAGATCGTGGTGGCCATGACGGCGGTGGGCGGCTCCATCTGCGTCATGCTGGTGGTCATCTGCCTGCTCGTGGCCTACATCACCGAGAACCTCATGCACCCGGCTTTCGGGCGCCCCGGCCTGCGCAGGCAGCCCTGAAGCACCAGGCGAGCGGCCCACCGGCGCTCCGCCTGCCCGAGATTGGCGCCCGCTCCCCACTCGTCGCTCCTGCTCCCTCCTTAGGATGTCCACGCAGGGCCTGCTGGAGACCGGTAGGGCCCCAGCCCGCCAGGGCCTTGGAGTCATTGCACGACCTTCCTAGCCCGGCATCCGCCTCCCACACTCCAAGTCGGGACTGACCCTTGGGCCCGCGAGGGGGTGCCAGCCTCGACCAGGGCTCTCCCTGCTTTCCAGAGGCCTTTACTGGGGCCGCCGGGACTTACTGCCCCTTCTAGCAAGAGCCATTGGCATCCCCGGGTCATCACGCTGTACCTGCAGCCTGTGCCAAGTTGGAAAAAACAGGCTGTCATCATTGCTTGGTCACTGTGTGCTTTGCCGACTTGAGGAGGCCCCTTGGAGCCTGTCCTCTCCCCACCTCACCCCAGTGGGCTTAGATTAGCGTCGTGCCTTAGTGTCTTGGGGCCACCGCGGGAGCCAACCACTGGTCCTGTGCTGTCGAGGGGGCCTGTGGCCCTGGCACTGGCTGGCTTGTGTTCTATCCAGCCAGAGCCCACTGGGAAACCCCCCTGCAAGCTTTGCAGGAGCCTCAGGTGTGGGTAAGCAGCATCTCGTGCTGTTTCCCTCCTTGGGCGTCTGATATGCTGCGAACCAAGATGGGCCGGGCCTCTGGTGGGCGTGTCCAGGGGCAGTGCCCTCTGACCTTGGGGGAGGCTGGCAGTTCTCCAGGGCTGCCTCTCTTTTGTGGGTGCTGCTTCTGATGAGGGCTTTCCATGGCGAGTGGGGGCAAGTGGCTGGAAGGAGAGGGCTCCTCTCAGATGACAGCGTGTGTCCAGAGAGCAGAAGAATTGAGGCCAGCCTGGCCCGGCACAACTTGCCACTACGGTCTGGATCCCAAGCCTCCACCACGGCGTGACGGACAGCACCATCCCACCGCTTACTCGTGCTGGCAGCCAAGAGCCCAGGATCTGGCTGGTGACACTGGTACCCACCGCACTGAAGGCCGGCCTCGTCCCTTCCTGGGAAGACCCGAGCCAAGGTCGCTTCCTGAGCCGGGCACCTGGCCTCACCAGGAGGGGTCAGGCGCACTCGGCTCTCTGCAAGTCCCCGACTATGACCATCCTAGACCTGGCACTTCTGGAGTCACTGTGGCTAACCCCTGCCCACCCCCACCCCGGCGGCCAGCGGCGACCCTGGGTCCTGGCTGGCGCCCCCACAGTGCCCACTCCCTACCTCTCTGTCTTTGCTCAGCCTGCCCCTGGCATGGCGCTGGTCAGGTGTGAGCCTGTCGTCAATGTCTAAATGTCCATCATTTTAGACCAAAAACGCTGTCTTGTGTGCTTACTGGGGAGAGGGGAAGGAAGAGTGCGGGGCGGGGGAAGAGGAGGGCCCCTCTTCCCCAGTTCCTAGGCACCTTGTTACAAGCAGAGCAACAGTCAGTTCTGTCCACCCTCAGACCTTGAGGAAGCATCGTTTCTGGGCCTCTTGGGTTGGGTGGGGGTGTGGGGATGGCATTTGCTGCAGTTAGAAATAGCCCAGTCTCACGCACGGGCGGCCCAGTTGAGCTGTGACATGCAATAATTAGGCAGCTGCGGGAGGGTCCCCTCCCCAGCACGGGCTTCCCCATGTAGTGCTAGGGCTGCGGAGAAGGGGGACCCTGAGTCCCTGTGTGGGGCGTGCACTAGACCATCATCCGCTCCCCCCAAGACTCTCCCACTCCTTGGCTGTCCTTGAGATCCTGGAGCTGGCTGTGACCCTGAGAATCAGAAACAGCTGGGGGCGGGCCAGGCTCTGAGAAGTGACTCATCCCTTTGGAGGGGGCAGGGTGCAGCAATGTGTCTAGACCGCCGGGCAGAAGTGGGAGGAGTTCAGCTGCTAGCAGCCTTCTCTCCGGCTTCCTAGGGGCTCTTTGCCTGCTGCAGCCCCTCCCAGCCCGTTGTGCAGTTGGGTGTCTTCCCCAGGGTAGAAGTGGGAGCTGGGGTGTCCGTCCTCAGCTCCTGGCTGCAGCTGGGCTCCAGGACTGGAGCCCCTGTGAGGTTCTGTGAGGCCTGCCTACTCTCGTCTCTTCCCCTCCCCTGGCTCTCCACTGGGTCTGGGGCCCCTTTGTGGGCTGGGGCTCATACCAGCGCCTGTCCAGCTGCTCTGCAAGGCTGGTCCGCACGGACTTGTAGCCTTCTGCGCCATTCAGGGACTTCTCGAAGGACTCGAGTCCAGCTTTGGGTTTGCAGAGGGGGAGCTGAGAAGTCCTACCCCAGCATGGTTCAGTCAGGGGATGGGGGTTGCTGGGCTTGGGAGATGCCCTGGGGCTGGTGCCCAGGCTGAGCACTTCTGCTTTCGAGCTCACACTCATCCTCCGGAGCTGCTCCTTCTCCCGGGGGCCCACCGTCCTCTCGGGTACGGGGGACGCCCCGGCGCTTAGCCCACCGAGGCCACCCAGTGGGCTGCGCACCTGTCCAGTGGACCTTCTCCATCTATACCGCCTTCTGGAGGAGCCTCCCTCTCCCGCCCCCTTCTCTCCCTCTTTCTGTCCTCACCATGGTCTCGGCTCTGACTGTGTGGCTAGGGGCAGACATGGCCCTCTCCGGGAGCGTCTTCACGGCTTTCCTGGGCCGGGCAGCTGGGCCCAGATGCCTCATCTGTTGGTTGAGACTTTGCCTTTCTCATTGGTGCCCGAAGATACTTCAACTTGGGATTTTCTGATGTGGAACAGAAGCCACTGCTCTGATCTGAAACATTGAGGGGTTTCCAGGGCTGTCGGCCCGGCTCAGTCTTCGAAGAGCCATGCGGCCTTTGAAAACCTGTTTCCTCATCTGTAAAATAGTATCAGTAATGGAGCTGGATTCACAGGCTTGTGGCGAAGCTTACCGGAGATGAGGCAGGTAGAGACGAAAACGTCATGGCCCTCGTTACTACTGTCCATGCCTCCTCTGGGCTGAGACCACCCCCACCCTGCCCAAGCTACATCCCCAGCCTAACCCCATGCAAAATCTAGACACGCCGTGGCCCATCTGTGGGATTCCCATTGTGATGGCTTCTGTGTACAACACAGAGCAGATTCCCAGCTCATGCCCCAAAGCTCCCCCACAGCCAGTACTCCTCGCCCTGCCCACAGGAAGGATCCGCCCTTCTATGAGCTCGTGCTGCAGGCCCCATGTGACCAGCTCCTGGGGCCCCAGCAGTGACAGGAGGGTGCTGACTGGCCCCCCAGATTCCTCCCCACGGCCTGCGGCGACGGCCTGTTCCCCTGGTCCCTGAGGGTGGGCACAGGTCCTTCCATGCTCGAAGGCCGCTTAGGCCTCCTGCGGCATCCTAGGAGCCCCTAGTGCGGCCCCTTGGAAACCCCCCCGCGCTCAGAGGCTGCTCGGCTCGAGTGGGCTGGGGGAGGAGAGCAGGCAGCAGGCTGAGGAGCACGTTGTGGAGCCGGCGTTTCCCAGCTCAGCTCAGGACTGGAGGTCACGGCTGTTGGATCTGTGTTCAGGGACAGCCAGGACCTGCGGATGGCCCCCGGCCTCGGGGACAGGTGTTTGGCCCCTGACACTCTGAGCCTCCCACCTGGGCCACACCCGAGCTGCATCCATTTCTTTCCTAACTGCTGCTGTTTCCTGTTTGGCTTTGATAACATGGGCGGTTATAATTTTTCTCTGCTTCTGGGCATGGCTTTCTGCCAGGACTCTTATCTGTTGGGACGTTACTATGCTTTTCTCACCGTAAGTCTGCGTGGGGTTCAACTGCTACTCTGTTCTTTTGGTCACGTATAAAAGAGATGGATTTCCCCAGGCTCTTAGGTGAGGAGTGGGTGAGCCAAGATAGCTTCCCTGACCTCCCGACTCTGTTAGCACTGTTAAATGATGTGGGGAAAAAAGGCAGAAGAAAAATTATTGAATTTCCTACTACCTACAGCCCGTTGACAAGTCCTTGAAACAGGCAGAGTGACCTTCCTCTAGGGACTCAACTGCCTCGATGTTGGCACTTTGCTAAGGGCAAAAGACAATCCTAGTCCTACCCCCAGGATCCTGTAAGTCTACTTTAACATACAGAAATTCCTTTGGAGGGGCGCCTGGGTGGCTCAGTGGGTTGAGCCGCTGCCTTCGGCTCAGGTCACGATCTCAGGGTCCTGGGATCCAGTCCCGCATCGGGCTCTCTGCTCAGCAGGGAGCCTGCTTCCCTCTCTCTCTCTCTGCCTGCCTTTCTGCCTACTTGTGATCTCTGTCTGTCAAATAAATAAATAACAATTAAAAAAAAATTCCTTTGGAAACTTCATCTCTAACCACCCCCCCCACCCGATACATGTTGGCAATCATCTCCCAAACATGTGACCCACTGATAGACATCTGAAAGGTGTCAGGACTCAGGTTTTATTTATTTATTTTTAAAGATTTTGTTTATTTATTTGACAGGCATAGATCACAAGTAGAAGGAGAGGCAGGCGGGGGGTAGGGGAAGCAGGCTTCCTGCTGAGCAGAGAGCCTGATGCAGGACTCGATCCCAGGACCCTGGGATCATGACCTGAACCTAAGGCAGAGGCAGAGGCTTAACCCACTGAGCCACTCAGGCACCCAGGACTCAGGTCTCATTAGGTGGTAATAAATGACCTTTCCCAACTACAGCTATCTCCTCAAGGTCCTGGAAACCTTGCTTCCTAATTCTTTAGAGACTTAGGCTATCCTAACCCCCTCCCAACTTGAAAGTGTACAATGGGCCACTCCTCATGACCCCAGTGCAGCTCTTTCTGCCCACAGGTCCTGTCCCTGTGTTTTAATAAAACCATCTTTTTGCACCAAAGACGTCTCAAGAATTCCTTATTGGCCATTGGCTTCAAACCGTAATGTCTTTCCTACAACATTTCTTAAAAAGAGTTTATTTGAGGATGCCTGGGTGGCTCAGTGGGTTAAGCCTCTGCTTTTGGTTCAGGTCATGATCCCGGGGTCCTGGGATTGAGCCCCACATCGGGCTCTCTGCTCAGCCTTCTCCCTCTCTCTCTGCCTGCCTCTCTGCCTACTTGTGATCTCTCTCTCTCTCTGTGTCAAATAAATAAAATCTTTAAAGAAATACAAAAAGATTTTATTTGAGAGAGAGAGAGGAGAGAGAGCATGAGCTGTGGGAAGGGGCAGAGAGAGAGGGAGAAGCAAACTCCCTACTGAGCAGGGAGCCCAGTGCAGGACTTGATCTTAGCTAGGATCCTGAGATCATGACCTGAGCTGAAGGCAGATGCTTAACTGAGCCACCCAGACATCCCTTTTCCTACATCATCTAACACGTGGCCTCACAGTATCTGGGATCTGCCTCTCCCCTCGTCCACTTCTATCTGGACTTCCTTGTCCTTGGCCCTTGGGGTCTCCATCCTGCTGTTTGGATTCTAGCCCCACAGATTTGTTCATGCCCATTCCTTTCTTCCTTCATTAGCAACCACTCAGATGTGCCCTCAGACACGTGTGTGCCTTTTTAAAAAAATATACCCCAAAGTTGGGCTGCAGATTTTTATTGTCTTTACTCAACACTGAGATTAACCCATGCTGCAGAATGCACTAACATTTCGTCACTTCTCTCCATCACGTAGGATTTCCCCTGAATGAACAGCTTATTCCTATTCTTGGTACATTTTTCTATCACTCTGAATTTTTCCTTTGGATTTTCAAGAGTTCCACAAATATTCTAAACCAATCCTATCTGATAGGACTTTCTGAGACTCCGAACTCTTCTTTTTCTGTGCTGACTACAGGCTACAAGTCACCATAGACCGGGAGACCTAAAACAGCAGGACATTTGCACAGTCTGCCCGAGGCCAGAAGTCTGAAATCCGGAAGTCAGCAGGGTTGGCTCCTTCTGACGGCTCTGAGGGAAAATCTGTTTCATGCTGCTCTCCAGCTTCTATTGAAAAGAAATCCTTAATTTTGGTGACATGAGACGTCGTTTTCTCCCACGCTGTAGGCGTCTTTTCGGTCTTCAGCAATCCCTGCACACAAAGAACAGGAAAATATTTTCCTGGGGTGCCTGGCTGGCTCAGTGGGTAGAGTGTGCAACCCTTGACCTCAGGGTAATGACTTCAAGCCCCGTGTTGGGTATAGAGCTTACTTTTAGTAAATTATTTAGCGAATTAGAAAAATATATTTTCCTATTTTTAATTGGATCGATTTTACCTTTTATATTGTGTTTAATCTATCTAGATATCACCTTGTATATGGTATGAAGTCAAGATACAGTGTTTTGTAGCCATACACTGAGCCAATTTCCCCAATCCAGTGTGTGGAAACAATCCACTTTTCCAGTACATGGCGCCCCCGTATTTACTGCGTTCCCACATTTACATGGGTCTGTTTAGGTCTGTTTTTTTCTACAATTGCACTATAGTGTCTTTATTATTATAACTTTAATATCTTAGTATCTGTAGGGTGAGTTTCCACATTTTACACTTTTTTTGGACACAGAGTCAGTGAGAAAGGGAACTTAAGCAGGGGAGCAGGCAGAGGGAGAAGCAGGCCTCCCACGGAGCAGGGAGCTGATGTGGGACTCGATCCCAGGACCCTGGGATCATGACCTGAGCCGAAGGCAGATGCCCAACAAATAAGCCCCCCAGGCACCCCCACATTTTACGCTTTTAAAAATGGATTTAAAGACAGGAGCCTAGGTGGCTCGGTCAGTTGAGTGGCTGGCTTGATTTCAACTCAGGTCGTGAACTTGGGGTCATGGGGTTGAGCCCTGTGGCGGGTTCTGCACTCAGCGTAGGGTTGGCTTGGGATTCTCACTCTGCCTCTGCCCCTTCTCTCTCGCTCGCTCAAATAAAATTTAGAAAGGGGCGGGGACATGAGACTTCTGGTTCCAGTGAAGATGAAGTAACAGGAACCAGAATTATTTTCCACCTGAAAACTAAAAACACAAAATATGTAAAACAGTCCTAAACACTGAAGTCCTGAGACCCTGAAAGGAAAAACAGTGTTGAATTCTAGGACTCCAGATCTCCATCTGGTTCTCAGGATGTGCAGCAACAAGGGAGAACTCAGGCAGAGCCCCATGGTCTCCATGCACTGAGTGCATGGGTCTGAGAAGCCTGGAGGCCAAGGTGTTGCGTTCACAAGGCAAAATGCTGAAGAACAACAAGGACACGTGGATGTATATAGCTCAGCACTGACTAGCATGTGTGAATCATGAGGCCAAGAAAAGAACCAGCAAAAAGGCTTAGAGGGAAAACTCCTAGAGTTTAAGCAGGGCCTCTAACAACCAGTCAGGCTGCCCACCTGCTCTTTGGGCCTAACAGCACATGCACCAGCTGCTTGGCACTGCCGCACCGCTCACTGATGCTGCCTGTTTTCATCCCTTCTGTTCCATTTGCAGTTTGTCTTCGTACACCTTCAATCTCGCTAACTTCCTCTTCCGTAACGTCTAATCTACTGCCATTTCCACCCGGCGGATTCTTTATTCAGCTATTTCGACACAAATTATAAAGAACAAATTAACGTAGTTTGTCAAGCTTAAGAACTTTTGTCCTTCAAAAGACATTGATGAGGGGCACCTGGGTGGCCCAGTTAGTTAAGTGTCTGCCTTTGACTCAGGTCATGACCCCAGGATCATGGGATTGAGCCCTGAGTCTGGCTTTCTGCTCAGCCAGAACACTGTGATGTGTGGGCCTTTATTCAAGCAGGGAGCCTGGTTCTCCCTCTCCCCCTTGCTCTCTCTCAAATAAATAAAATCTTAAAAAAAAAAAAAAGACATTGGGGCGCCTGGGTGGCTAGTGGGTTAAGGCTCTGCCTTCAGCTCATGTCATGGTCTCGGGGTCCTGGGACCGAGTCCCCACATCAGGCTCTCTGCTCAGCGGGGAGCCTGCTTCCCCCTCTCTCCTTGTCTCTCTGCCTACTTGTGATCTGTCTCCCTGTCAAATAAATAAATAAAATAAAAGAGAGCTTGGTACTTCAATATTTTATTTTTTAAGAATTTATTTGACTGAGAGATCACAAGTAGGCAGAGAGGTGGGGGATGCAGGCTCCCCACTGAGCAGAGAACGGGACTCAGGGCTCCATCCCAGGACCCTGAGCTCATGACCTGAACCGAAGGCAGACACTTCACCCGCTGAGCCCCCCAGGCGCCCCGAGAGCTTGGTAGGAGACCACAAGCCTCTGAGTTCAGATTAGTATGTTCTCAGCACACTGGGGAAGCCATGGAGGCGTTTTGTTTCTAAAATACGAACAGTTCTAGTATTTGCTGTGGATGTAAAAGAAAATAGATGTTTGAGGGCGCCTGGAGGGCTCAGTCAGCTAAGTGTTGGCCTTTGGCTCAGGTCATCTTCTCAGGGTCCTAGAATTGGGCCCTGCATCCGTCTCCCTGCTCAGCAGAGAGCCTGTTTCTCCCTCTCCTGCCTCTCCACCTGCTCAGGCTCCTTCTGTCTCAAATAAATAAAATAAAAATCTTAAAAAAAAATTCATGTTCCTTGGGGCATCTGGGTGGCTCAGTGGGTGAAGCCTCTGCCTTGGCTCAGGTCATGGTCTCAGGGTCCTGGGATCGAGCCCCGCCTCCGGCTCTCTGCTCAGTGGGGAGCCTGCTTCCCTCTCTCTCTGCCTGCCTCTCTGCCTGCTTGTGATCTGTCAAATAAATAAATCTTAAAAAAAAATACATGTTCCTCATAAAATACTAAGTGAAGGAATTAAAAAAAAACTTTAGAAACATTCAAAGCAACCTTAATCCCACCAGCCCAAAATACCTGCCACCCCACGGTAACATTTTGGTGGGTCTTTTTTCTTCTTATGCTCTGCATATCCTCAAACAGAGAGCAGGCAGGGAGAGTGTCCTCATCCCTCCCGATTCACCCTCGAACCCCCAAGGCCGTCCCAGTAAACGCTCGTTGCAGTCCCGCACTGTCCTCCCCCCCCGCCCCGCAGCAACTACGTCCAGCAGTTCTGCAGGACCCTGACAGCCTAGGGGCGCCCGGCTGGCTCAGTCAGAGGAGCATGGGACGCCGGCCCCACGGTGAGTGTAGAGATTACTCAAATCTAAAAAAATAAAAAATAGAAAAATGGAGGGCCTTCTCCGCGTTTTCCTCCCCGAAGACAATGGCAATGCTGGGAAACGTCAGCCTGGGCGAGGGAGCTTCTCCTCCGCCCTGCCCGCCGTCACGCCCAGCCCGCAGGTCGGCGTCCACAGGGCGGCCCCCCCGCCCAGTCTTCTTCCACTCCAGTGGGGTCTGCAAGCCAACGCGCAGCGCGCCTTTCCACCGCGCCGTCCTCTCCCGGCCCCCGGCCGCGCCCCCCTGGAAGTCAGCACGGCTCGCCCTCCGGCCGGATCCACGCGGTGGAGCGCGGCGGGGCACCGAAGCCGGTCCTACCCCGACCCTGCGACTCCAGCCCCCGGTGCCTCCAAGACAGCGCGAGGCCCCGGTCAAGCTGCGCTCCCAGCCGGGAGGCCCTGCACGACTCCCCTCCCCGAAGGGTTCCAAACTCGGCCTGAACACCACCCGGTGGGGCTCCGAGAGCGACGTGCGGACGCTTGCGCGAGCCGGGGCACGCGAGGCCACTAAGCGGCCGGGGCAGAGAGGAGGGGCCTCGCGGGGACCCGCTGAGAGTGAGCCCATTGTACGCCGAGCGCGGAGTGGGGGCCCAGGCCGCGGGAGCGGGACCCCGCCGCCAGACGCCGCGCAGAAGCGGCGCTCCAGCGACTCTGGATGCCGACCGGCTGGCGCCGCACGCGCGTCACTCCTGTCGACGACGGCCACACGTCGGACGTGTCATGGGCGACGGCGCGGCCTCACGTCATTCCTGGCGACGGCGGCCGGGTTTTGTGACGTAGCACGCCAGCGCCCGGCTCCGGGCCGAGGGCGGCCCCTGTGAGGACCTCGGGCTTCTGCCGGGCACGCCGGGGACAACGGCGCGCTCGCTGCGGGCTCGGCGCCCGCCGGCGAAGCCTCCCTGCCTTCGCGACCGGGCGCTGTGGGCGCCCGGGACGCCGCGCACACGCCCGCGCCCGCGTCCTGACGCGCTACGTCGCCGGCGCCGCCGCCTTGGCGTCATGACTTCCGGGCGCCGCGGCCGCCATATTGCTCGCGCGGAAGCGCCGCGGCTGGGTGGGCGTCCCGGAGCGGTTGCGTCGCGGTCGTTGCGGCCGCCGCTATGCCGTCGTCGCCGCTGCGGGTGGCGGTGGTGTGCTCGAGCAACCAGAACCGGAGCATGGAGGCGCACAACATCCTCAGGTAGTTGGGGCCTCCGCCCTGGCCTAGCGCGCCCCGTCGGACGCCGGCCGTCCCTGCGGCCCAGCGTCCTGCCCGGCCCGTGCTGGGCGGCTCCCCGCTCCCTTAGGCCGGACGTCGGGTCGGCCGCGCCGGGCTCGTCGGCACCGGGACCGCGCGCAGCGAGGAGCCCCTAAGGCTCGGTCGCGCGAGGTTTCAGGTTCTGAGCCCGGAGGCTCCCGGGCGCTCCAAGCTCCCGGCTCCCGGTGAAGCCGAGGGGCCGGTGCGTTGGCATCCGCTGTGCTCGCGCGTCTGTGCCTCTGGAGGTGGCGGCCCTTCTGTGGGGTGTCCGCCCATGAGTGCCGGCCCCGGGTTCGCGTCTGCGAGGTGGTTGCGTCCCGCGACAGGGTGCGGGCCGCCTGGCCGCTCACGGGCCCCGCCGGAAAGCCTGCACGACGCGGCATAGCCCAGAAAAACCGAAACCCCGAACACGGGCACGGCCCGCTTTGTTAACGCCATGGAGTTGTGTCTGCGTTTGAGTCTCGGGCAAAACATGCCCTCCGCGCCCAAATTCTCCAGCCGCGCGTTTCCGGGCCACACGGGGGTTCGGCTTTGCGTTTCTGGGGTGCGTGTCCGCGATGCTGGCGTCGTGTGTGTAATAGAGCGTGTGTCCGTCACGAGGCCCCGCGGGCCGTGACAGTGACCACTTGCGGGTGGAGTCTGGTGTGCTGAAAGCCTCTTCCCGGAGTGTCCCCGGCTCAGAGGACAGCAGCGCCGCCGCCTCTCCGTGACCACCTTCCTCAGTAACCTGGAGAACTTAGAATTTTCTGCACGTTCTCTCCTTTGTCTGTCTGCCTTTTTTTTTTTTTTTTTTTTTTTTTTTTGCCTTGTCAGAGTTCAGGTCTGCTAATTAGGAGTGTCATCTTTCCTAACCTGTCCCACACTGCCCACCGTATTCACTGTCGTTTTTCGTCAGAATGGGATGTTTGGAACCTAACAATTCATTGTGAAGGTGGTTTTTAAACAGAAACCTTTACAATTGCAAACTTGTTTTAAAAGTAGAAAGTGCTGGTATGAAGTTTACAGACATTTAAAGTTCAGTAAATTTAAGGAAAAGAACGTAAGGTTAACACTCCTGGAAAGTTACTCAAGGGAAATGAAATTTAATGTCCTCAGTCAGAAGAGGGGATCTGGAGACCACCTCGCTGTGCTGATTCTGGCTGGCGGTCTTCAGTGTAAGCTCTTAGTGTCTGCGTAACACATTTCAGGTGAACTCTACGAAAGGGAAATGGTTGTTTTTTTCTTTTTAAACTACCTGTAGCAGTTTTGTCATGAAACCAGTTCCAGAACTTGCCCATCTGATAACTTCCCCAAGATGATCCCTGCAGGACGATAGGTCCTTGTGTAGTTCAGAGCGGTGGTAGCCGGCACAGCAGTGGGTCTCCTGTGGAAATGGGGGTGCAGAAGAACCCTCCAGTAATCGCCAAGTCAGAATTCTTGGGTGTGCTTGTACCCATTTTACTGTTTCAGATTTGCTTCAAAAAGAGACTCCAAACGAAGGTAAGTTTAGGGTAATCTGTATTATTATTATGTTTTTTATTTTTAAAAGATTTTATTTATTAGACAGACAGAGATCACAAGTAGGCAGAGAGGCAGGCAGAGGGGGAGAGGGGGGAAGCAGGCTCCCTGCTGAGCAGAGAGCCCGATGCAGGGCTGGATCCCAGGACCCTGAGACAATGACCTGAGCCAAAGGCAGAGGCTTTAACCCACTGAGCCACCCAGGCGGCCCAGGATAATCTATATTATTGACATCATGAATGTGATGTTGACTTAGACCTGAATCTTTAATTGCTAAAATACCTATATTTGGGGGATGTTTTCATTTGTTAGAAAATAGTGTTACTTAGAAGAAGATCTCTTTGCAAACAGAATACATTGAAGGTCCTCACAGGATCGGTGTGGCACCTGCTGGGTATGTCCTGTGTGTACATACACTGAAGGGAGAGTAAAATGTTTTGTAATTTCTCTCCACATAATGTTAGGTTTTGGTGGTTATTTTGTTGTATTGAATTTGAATACATTTATTCATATTGAGTAATGGCAGTGGTTACAAAATTAGGACACAGTAATCCAGAGGAATTCTGTGGAGCAATTAATTTTGTAGCCAACCCCGGGTTAGTAGACATTTTGGCTGCTTTTTATCTTTCGTTCTTAAAATGTCAACATCCTTGTGCCATATAAATACATTTGCACAGTTTTCTGATTGTTTC